GCCGGCTGCGCGCTGGGGTGTCCCGGTGCGGTTATGTTCTGGGAGCAGAACATTGAGTAACACCGAACTGAAAGAAACCGCCCCAGGATATTACCGCGGCAGCGCAAGACGAGGCCTCCTGACTTTGCTGCTGATTTATCTTGTCCTGTTGCTCCCGCTCTGTCATCCCAAACCTGATGGGAAACAGCAAAGCAGCAAACTCCTGTTTCCTGTAACTTTTAAGCTGTGACTGTTTTCACAGGTTTATTTCAAACTTAAACCTCAAGGCCAGGCTGGATAAAGCCTTGAGCAACCTACTGTGGTGGGAGGTGTCCCTGCCCATGGTAGGATCTTGGGATTAGATAATCTGTAAGGTCCATTCCAACCCCTAAAATTTTATGATTTACACTGACCTTAATTTTAATTTTTCATATATACCTAGAGTATTATGTTGAGATACTTGCATGTTAAAGTATTTCTTATTCCATTTTCAGAGCAAAACTTAAAATGAAGGCTTAGAAGACAAGTTTCTACTTGCTGCTGAGGTAAAAAAAAACCCCTTTATAACCAAGATCTTGAAGTGCAGTGTAACATCACAGTAGTTCTGTTTTCAGAACAGACTGAAAGCCTCACTCACTTTGGAAGAGTTGAAATGATTGTGGGTGTTATTTTTAAATTAATGTGAGGAAACCTGTGAAGTAAATCACTTCTGCAGGCCAGTGCCTTGCTCAATATTTGCACTTGTTTCTTTAAGGTTAATGGTATTGTCCTATTTTAATAATCAATTCATGTGAATTACAGAAAAATGTATGTGCTTGCAAAGATCATAGATATAATTGATGTAAAAATGTGTCATGATTTGATTAACAAAATACATTAAGATATCCCTGCAGTAAAAATTGGTTTCTAGCCACTCTAACAAAAACAGCATTCAGTTTTTTGGTGTGATCTGACACTTCCTTTTTCCTGTGCAGACTCTTTTTACTAAAATACTGAATATTCACTTAAAATGCCAAACAAATTGCAGCTGGAATAATAGCCCAGATTTTTTTTTATGTCTTTGGATCCCTTCTGCTTACAAAAAGTATTTTAATCATGAGCTGTGGAAATGATTTTGTGGAAACTCTGAAGAAAATTGGATATCCAAAAGCTGATGAGCTTAATGGAGAAGATTTTGACTGGATGTTTGAGTCTTCGGAAGACAAACAGTTTCTGGAGTGGTTTTGTGGAAACATAACTGAGCAGCATGTGGTATCTGAAAAAGAACTGCAAGATTTTGATGATCTCCTGGAGCATGGTAAACCCATTTTGGAAGGGAATGCACTGTATGAAGTCCTTAAAAACCTGAAGCCTGTGGATTCTAAGAGTAGTAGCCAAGAAGAGGAGGAGGAGGAACTGAAGAAATTAGAGGATGAGCTTCAAACTCTTGAGCAATTAAAAAAACTTCAGATTCATCGGCATAACAAGCTTCAACTGCTGGTTACTGTCAACAGCAACTTGCTACAGACACTACAAAGCAAAGATGAGGAAGCACACAAATATTTGAAGGAAGGACTGGAAGTGTTCACTGCAGGAAATAACAAACTTTGCCGTGAACTGCAGTCTCTTATAGATGGAGTGAAGAAATTTGCCTCTTTCTTCGCTGCTTCAGATGCAGAACAAGGGTCAGATCGACATCCATTGTTTTTTTGCCAGCTTCCTTTGGACAAGTATTTGTCTCTGGAAGATCAAAGCACTGCAGCACTTGCCTCACACATGAAAAGTCATTTTTCTCAAGGTATGTCTGACTGGGCTGGAAATTCACACAAAGAAAGCTTTCAGCTCGAAGATATAGGCAAGCAAGTCACAGGTGATGAGACTAAAGAAGTTTGGGAAGTGAGTTCAGAGGTTGCCAGGCTCCAGTCAGCTTATATTTGCGCTCAGCATCAGCTCATTCAGATGCAAGCTGAGGAGGAGAGTCTGAAATCAGCTATCAAGTGTGCGCAGAGCATGCTGCAGTCCTCAAACAAGGTAAGCCACAGAAGGTGAGAGAAGGGAGTGGAGGTTTAACCAGACAGGCATGTTCTACTGCATCTAGTGGGAAGAGTTGCTGAGGTATCATTATTTCATTATTTTTATGTAGTGAAATTGCACTTTTATGAAGTTTTAGTCTTGCTCACAAAACTCCTCTTGTGAAACAGCTTCAGTTTCGATAGCTAGAAATTCTTCAGACAGAGGACCTTTACCTCTGCTTTCCAGAGTTACTACCTTCAAAAAGCCTAGAACTTAGCAGTGCCTTTCTAGTTTAGTTTAATTTGGAATTTTCAAGTTAGGACTGGCTCTCTGTTGTATGTACAGCAAAAAAAATCTTAACTTTGGTTGAAATTTTGTGGTATTGAGGAGCCAACATGGTAAATATTCCTGTTTCTATTGTGTGGCGTGAGCTTAAAGAGCTTCAGTTCACTGATTCTTTTGAAACTCCAGTCAGTGTCTGTACCAAATAAATCTGGTAGTTCAAGCCCCAGAAATCTCTCAACAAGTGAGTGACAGGCTGATATGGCTACAAGAACTTGTGAAGAAATCATTATGAAAGGAAAGGTATTCACTCATGCCAGTCATGGAACGACTTGAGGCATCATGTCAGTTTGTGTTTTCATTTATGGATGACTAGTATATAGGACTTGATTGATTAGAGTAGTTTGAAAGAGGTTGATTCTGCTAGTAGTGTTGGTCATCCAGCTGAATATAAAAAACGGTGTTTGAACATGGGATTTCAGTCAGACATGCTTCGAATCTGGGAGCTGGATAAAGTGCAGCTCTTCTATTTTTAACACAGTAAACTCTTTCCTGACCCTGCAATAGAATGAAATTACATTTTACTGAAATCTCTTTATTTGAGATCTACTTTGTACATCTGCATTTGCCTTATATTGTAAAGTTCTGTAAAACTACTTGTGAAGTTTCATTTCATTGTAGGTAAATGTAACATAAGTACCTGAATGTGTGGACTGAAGAAATGTTTGGGAAGTGGCTTGGAGGGAACCGTGAAGAAATGACAAATATTTTGTTATATGCAGGATATTGGACGACAAGAAAACCTCCAGGCCAAAATACATAGTTTAAATGATGAAATTGCAACAATTAAACAAGATATAGCTCGGATAAACAATGAAGAGCTGCTTCCCCTTCTGAGAGAGAAGGCACAACTTCTAACCCTGCCAGTGCTGAAAGCACACTTGGATCATCAGATTGCTCAGCAGGACTCCTATGCTTCAAGACAAGAAGAAATATGTAGACACTTGATAAGGCAGAAAGCTTCGTTTGAACTTATCGAGCTGGGCTGTGAAATGGAGAGGAAGAAACACCAGGACATCAGCTGTCAGCTTGAGAATTTGGTGGGATCTCTGAAGCAGAGCACTGATCAGTTGCAGCAGAGACTACAGCTGATAACTGAACGAATTCAACGTGCAAAGCCAAGGAACACTATTAGTTCAGAGGATGGTATGTGTTACAGGTAAGTGTTATGGTCATTATTGAGCTTCAGCTTGGTTTGAAATAATGTTGGGGAAGTGAAGGCTTAGGCAAACTGCCTGTCCCATTGCTGAGTTCTTAGTTACTTGAGGTAACTAATTAGTATTTTTAATTCCTAAGAGTGATGAAACTTGTCTCTTCTTATCCTTTGAAATTTTTTTCAGCTTTGCCTGAGGAAAAACTGTTCAATTATCAGTCTTTTTAATATTGCTGAGGCATTCCTAAGCATTATCTAGAACATAATGAATGTTTAAAGTCAAACCTGTCTCATACAGTGCCCGAATCTAGGACCTCATGAAAAGTTATTCTAGGAGTATAGGTGTTAATAACGGTGATTTTCCAGGCCGTATTTGTGGCCTCATCAGCTGAGCTGGCAAACCCCCATGTGGTAGGAGAGGGGAACAACTCCTTCAGTATGTGAAACTCGTTTAGCTCGTTTTCACTGCTTGATCTGCAGTCTGGTTTGAGTGTCTGTCACCCGTGTAGGAGTTTGGCTTTACACCATCTCAGTAATTAAGCCTCCTTGTAGCTCAGGTGATGCGTTTATGGCTGTGCTGCTGCTCCTTCAAGACTAAACTTTTGATGAGGTGTACTGTATAATTATAGGTGTGTTACTATCAGAGTTTTCCTCCTTTCTTAGAATGGTGCTTTAAGTGGGTTTTTACTAACTGCTGAGTGACAGCAGAGTATGGTTTGGCACAGTGAATAAGTGCAAGAATTAGGCAGCATAATTTTGTTGCCATTTTGTGCTTGCTTTGGCAACTTGCAAACACTTTTGTTCAGGTTTTTTATAAAGTCTCCAAATCACTGAATGTTGTCTAGCTGCTTTTTCCCTTTTTTTTTTTTCCTTTTTAAAAGGGAAGTTGAAAGAGTTAAAAACCTTAAAGGGTTTGTAAGCAGAAGACACTTGAAAGAAACTGCTACTTTTGAAATGCAGCTCCTGCTCTCATTAAAGCCAATCTGATTTTATATTAGGGCTCAGCTCCTGAGGATTTTATTCTGCAGAGCTGGTAGTAACACTTGAGTGAAGTTACCTGTAATCATATTAGCTTGTTCCTGGTGCAGTGCAAGGACACAGTTTGGTATAGTGTGTGCCACTGTCCTTTGCATGACTTGTAACTCATCGGAGAATTCCTTAGCATTCTCTTTGTGGATAGAAAACAGGAAATACTCCAGTAAGCTTGAAAATGTTACAAAGATTGCTCTTATTTTTCCTTGGCCGTTGGAGTCTGCTGTTTTTCAGCACTTAGAAAAAACTGTATCTCATTTTGCATTCCTTGAAGTGTCAGGAAGTAGTTGGCAGAAGCACATTGTCAGCTTTTATTTGCATTCATTATGTACTTACTGACTGTTACTTTGATATTTCTTTGCTGTTAATTCAAATAGTTTGGATTTCTCTTAATTACTTGCTATATATATAGATAGAATCGTGAAATCAGTGGGAAATACAGCAGTGTAACAAAAGTGCCCTGAGCACTATTGTCCTTTGCAAGTCATCTGGCTTCTCAACATGAACATCTCTTGACTAATGATGGCAGAGTACATAGGAAACTTAGAAATGTATGTGTCTAACTTCACTTGTTACAGGCTCTATCAGCTCCTGGAAGGAGGATGTACAAAACAGTTGTTTAAAACCTACAAAGACCTGGAGCAGATGGCTCAGAAGTTAAAGCAGAACTGTGATGCACTAGAAGATAAGCGAGCAGCATCTTCTCAAGAGCAGTCTCTCCTTTTGTCCAAGCTACAAAGTGATGTAGATACCCTTCATGATGCTCTGTACTGTGGAGGAAATCAGCTACAACTCCGGAGTCAGGTAAGCCCCTAATGAGTTATTAAAATTATTACATTAATGTGTGTCATGTTCCTTTACTGATAAAAATGTAATGTGAAGGCTGTAGACACACAAACTGTCCCCACATGTCAGCAACAGATTTATGGTTGATGATTTATGATGATGGACACAGGACTTAAATTGTCCTTGGCAATATAAGTATTTTTAAAATGCTGACAGGTAATAATTATATGTTTCTGAGCAAATCGTAGAATCAACCTGGTTGGAAAA